AACTCGTTAACCCGTGGCCCTAATTTTAACGAAACTTGTTTGATTCTGTTTCTATTCTAATTTCATTACAAACAAGGCGCTATTGTGCGCGGTGTTTGCTGTTTTTAATTACAGACAAGCAAACAAACAATTTCAGAGTTTTAGTAGTATATAGATGGTATCAGACGAACAGACCAAAGATTTTTAATACCCATTATTGATTACTTATCGGAACGAATCATATTAACTTGTCGAAGTGGACTGAAATAATTGTATTTTAAACCGAAATCTCTAGTACTCACTACGCTTGTGATGTGATTTTCGAAGGCCAGTGTTATTGGTTAATGTGTTTCCATTGGTAACGTGCTTGTTGTGTCACTGGACGTTGCTTCGTAGAGCGTAGTTCTTAACGTCACTTTGTACCAGCACTTTGGGAGTAAACGTATTTTATGCAAGTAACTTTATGTCGCTTTTGCAAATTACACTTTTTTAGCATTAATGGAGGGTAAGAGAAAAAACTTAACACACACACCACACCAAATTGACAAATGTAACATATTTCGTGTAAGGAAACATTTTACAAGGACTTTATAAATTTAATTTGTATTTCTTAGTTTTTCTTTGATTACTTTTTTAAATTCGCATACCACAAATAATATGAACGGACCTTATCGGCCTGTGTACTTCTAGTCCAAATACGAGTCATTTACTAACCGTTGTAATTAAATAATTCAAAAAGAAAAATTCGTAAGGCACGATTTTTTCTTTCTTAATCAGAACACACATATAGAAATTCAAAGTATTTTACAGCTTCTTCTTTAGCATTCTTTAAGCCTAATCTTTCTTTAAGCCTAATCTAAGTAGAAAAACATGCTGAACCAGTAATAGATACCTCACTTGGTAGCAGCTGTTACAAAGTAATGTTTATTTAAAACAGCTAAATATATTCAAATAAAATTATTTCGCGAAGTAATAAAAGCACTGATTGCATTCTTAACAGAATAAAAACGATAAAATAGGTACATAGTACCAGTTTTTTTATTAGTTTTTTATTTTGTTATCAATGAAGAGGAACGTTTATTTAAAATGTATTTCGCTTTTTAACTCATTTTTACAACAACCCATTAAGGAATCGCGTGTAACTTATTGCACTACGTAATGTTATAGGAATTAATATTATTATCTCCTGATAAAAGCACACCATTTACTTCGATCAACTCGATAACGAGTATAGCTAACTAAGCCTATTTGCACAGTCAGCATGCCACGACTTTTTTACATAGTGCTATTCAGCATGCATTTGATGTCAGAGATATCAATTAACAGTAAGCGTAATGAGGAGTCTTATATTTTGGGGTCATACCCCAAAATATTCCCAAAACATAAAACCACTTTATTATGCTTATATTTGTTTGTTTGAAGTTAAGCACAAAGCTATACAATGGGCTATCTGTGCTCTGCCCACCACGGGTATCGAAACTCGGTTTCTAGCGTTGTAAGTCCGGAGACACACCGCTGTGCCACTGGGGGAGCTTAATGCTTATAAATCGTTGTCTGTCGATTTGCTGTTATATTATTATAACGTGATTTCCTACACAAGTGTTATCAACTATTCGTTTTACCTAACACTGCTGATTTTGCAACAGTTTGTGTTATAAAAAAATACAAAATACAGGAGGGAGGGATACTGAAAACAACTGTAGATATACATTTTGGAGGTTCTAGGGGTTATGCAAATTTAATGTGGAAACTGTACGATGGGCAAGAAAAATAACCGTGCACTCGAACTTGCCAGACTATTCGTCGTCTCTTCACAGACATATCTTGAGTACAAATACTTTTATAACACCTCAAATATTCCGTGTGTAACAGACTTGTACATTTTACTAAAAGCCTGCCACATTTTATGTAGATATACGTAGTTAATTGGAAAATATAGTTAACATTCCTTTTCCAGTACAGGGTCGGTTAATTGCACATTTGGTTAAGCATACTTTTATTAAGTTCTTACTTATGAAGATTAGCATACATTTTTTTTCTCCAGTTTGTTACCCGCGGTATAGATAATATTTTCGGTCGTAAACCCAATAATATCCCCCGAGGTTCGGCCAGCTTAGAAGATTCGTGTTAGTCCTAAATCCACATAATAAGCTGAAAAAATGCAAAATTATCTCTATGATAAAAGAAAACTAGTAAAAACTTGAAAATAATATAACTAAATATATTACATATTCTAACCAATACTGTTAATATTAGTAAATCTAAAGAAAGAATAGAGAATCCCCGAGTTACGTAACACACAACCACCAGCAACAAGCACAGCTCTGGCCATTCGGATATGACGTAAGGTGAATGTATATTTCTTTTTAACAGGTTGAAGTATTTTGACCTCTGCCTCTACAGTATACATCTACTACATGGACAACTTTATGTACACATTCAGGATATTTTTTTTCTTAGCATAGTTCTCACACTTGCGTTGCTAAGCAGCGAGTAACAATGAATTACGTAAATCTTCCTGTTGCGATGTCACGAAACACATGAAATTTCAATAGTATTGTACATATTTCCGATTGTAAAAGAGAGAAAAATTAACAATGATAATAACAATTTCTATGAGAGATCACAAGTTTCTAAGTAATAAAAAATAACTGTGTTGAATTTCGTCAGTTATCCAAACATTTCCTAATATACTTCACTACAAACAGGAAAACACAGATAGTTGATGTCATAAGTGTTCAGAAAACTCGCCGGCAAAAAAAAAAATGTTGGTAAGAAATACATATTTTTACTTTCAGAATTTTATGTTTGTTTTGAATTTCGCGCAAAGATGCGCGAGGGCTATCTGCCCTAACCGTCCCTAATTTAGAAGTGTAAGACTAGAGGGAAGGCAGCTAGGCATCACCACCCACCGCCAACTCTTGGGATACTCTTTTTACCAACGAATAGTAGGATTGATCGTCACATTATAACGCCCCCACGACTGAAAGGACGAACATGTTCTGCGGGACGGGGATTCGAACCCGCGCGTACACGCAGATTGCGAGTCGAGTGCCCTAACCACCTGGCCATGAACATCCGAGAAAGAAAAAAAAAGTTAGAGTCCCCTAGAGGGACAGCAGTATGTCGACGGACTTATAACGCTAAAATCTTGGGTTCAATTCCCCGCAGTGGACACAACGGATAACCCAATGTGTTTTTGCTATAAAAAAACAAAAACAAACGTTCACCAAAGCTAAAAGTTTATTTTTAAAGCTAATGAATAGTTACTATCAATATTGGGTGTTTTATTCTTGAAATATAATATAATATCAATAAACACATTTGAATACATATCGATAATCGGTTTCTTAAAAGCACAAAATCACAGATGACCTAAAAGTTAATTGACCATAGGATTTTTCTTTTAAATAACGAAGGCTAGCGTACTGAATACCGCTTCCGTAACGTCACTTCCGCAGTGATAAGACTACACGAAAAATGGAGTAAATTTACTTTAAACGTAAGATCAACCCGTGTTTATGTTTACTTTAAACGTAAGATCAACCCGTGTTTATGTTTACTTTAAACGTAAGACCAACTCGTGTTTATGTTTACTTTAAACGTAAGATCAAACCGTGTTTATGTTTACTTTAAACGTAAGATCAACCCGTGTTTATGTTTACTTTAAACGTAAGATCAAACCGTGTTTATGTTTACTTTAAACGTAAGATCAACCCGTGTTTATGTTTACTTTAAACGTAAGATCCATCCCGTGTTTATGTTTACTTTAAACGTAAGATTAACCCATGTTTATGTTTACTTTAAACGTAAGATCAACCCGTGTTTATGTTTACTTTAAACGTAAGATCAACCCGTGTTTATGTTTAAACGTAAGATCAACCCATGTTTATGTTTACTTTAAACGTAAGATCAAACCGTGTTTATGTTTACTTTAAACGTAAGATCAACCCGTGTTTATGTTTACTTTAAACGTAAGACCATCTCGTGTTTATGTTTACTTTAAACGTAAGACCAT